ACCAGAACCCAGCTGCCCGCCCTGGGGCCTCCCTGGTGTTGCACAAAGTTGTCTGCCTTCTGCAGCTGACGGGCCCGTTAACTACCAGTTTTTGCATTGTCTTGTTGAGGAATTTGAATGCGCAGACTGTGAAGCGAGGCATCAAAGCATTAACCATCACTTTTAATTATTACCTTTATTTTTTGGAAAGGAGTAGCAGTCAGAATAAAATACTTAATAGAAATTAAATACTTATTATCCACCTTCTCCTCCTCCTTGGTTTGTGCCCAACCTGGGTTGCCAGGTCTCCCCAGGGGTGGCTGGTGTGCAGATGAGCAGAGCTGCAATCCTGAACTGCTCTTGTCCTCACCCTTTCTCTTCACAGAGCGCTGAGGTTTCGTATTCGCATGTACAATTGTACATACTCCTAAATAGCACTCACCTCTGTCAGGGTTTTTCACTGTTTGCTCTTACATGTCAACACCACATCTGATTGGAGCCTTAATTGCTCTCCATGCTCCTGTATTTTTTCTCTTGCCTCATAGACCAGGGTTTGTTGAGGGGGGAGGCCCAAGCTAATGCTACCGGGGTAGGGACTCTCCCACTTACCAGGCTGGAAAAATGACCTTCCAAGACAGTATGAATTAAGTGTTGAAGATGAAAGCAGAGATGAAGCTCTGTGAGGAGATCTGTGACTTAATCCAGGAATTATGTGGTGTGCAGAGATGGAGAGAAAAGCAAACTTCTCATCCAAGACATGTTGTCTGTAGTGGTCCTGCTCTGGGGTTTTTCAGTGCATACGTCCAAAGGCTACTGGGATCTCCACCATGCCACCCGTTCCCCAGCCTGTTGCTGTAGTGCATAGCTGGGCCAACCCATACAATGTCTGGTTGGTGGTGGTAAAGTTGCCCGTGGTGGTTAGCAGCAGAAGCTGGCTGTACAAGCAGTACAAGCTAGTTCCTGGTAACTGGCTAGCAAGACAGTGTTGTGGATCTGCATGTATTCCCCACACCTGGATGTGCTGTGTTTGTTACCCATCAAGGTAAGTGAGATAAGCCCATTTTTCTCTAGTGTAGCAGAACACTATGAATGAACTCTATTTTACTCCCATTTTTCAAAGCAAGCCAGCAGCAGGACCTCTGAAGGTATAGCTGTGATAACAGCTACTGCTGCACGACACTTGTGGGTCAGAGGGGTTTGGTAGATGGCTTGGGTGGCTCACCCACCCCATGTACTGCGCCTGTGTACTTGCATTGTGATGAGAGTTGTTTCATGGCACCCCATCAATAAATGAAGCATTCTCTGGAGACCCTGAGCACTCTGTCCCCTGCCACTCTGTCCTTGTGCAGGACTCCACGTGCACTATGTGCCACTGAATATATCGTTATGTGAGTGGGAATGTGCAGGAGAAGGCAGACTTCTGAGTGGCAGAAATTAGTCTGAGGGAGAGAAATTAATAGGAGAAATTAATAGGCTCATTATCCAAATATGCTGTCATGGCAAAGAAATGGAAGGAACCTTCATCCCTCCATCAGCAGCTGGGATGTTGGATGCTAACAGCGTAGGGTACACCTTCCTGCCTGCACAGGAGAAAGAAAATAGGCAGTGGTTGATTACCTCTTGGTTTTAAATAAGTGTAGTATTGAACACAAATTAAAAACAACCTTGAAACTGCACAGATTCATAAAACGGTACTCTGGGATTTTAAAAATTACCTCCATTGGAATCCTGGAAGCATCTGTTACATAATTAATGCACTTAAAAATATATGCTATTTATGATTAATCCAGGCCTGTAGTGTGTGCTAGTTAAATGTCTGGATCCCAGGGTGCAAGGCGAGGAGGGAAATGCAGTTGTAATCCGTTTGACGGTTATAGGAAAGGACATTTGATACAAATAAATATATTTTCCTTAGTCTTTTCATTTGTCAGGGCCAAACTTACGTCTGTTGTGCTGAGTTTGTTGACTGGTAAATGTTTTGAGATTTATGCTGATAGTTCTGTAGATCTACCAGAAAAAATAACTCAAGAATAATTAGGGAGATTGACCATACAGTAATGTACCACACGTGAGCCGGTGTTGCTGGGTTGGTGATCTTGAGTATGGTATATGCAATTAAAAGTGTTAAGGCTCAGTACCATGAAGCTTTTCAGACACTCTCCGAGATACACAGATGCTTTAGGGGATGCGTGTTTCCCAAAGGATAACTTGCCAAAGTTACTGGATGCCTTGCTTCTCCCCTCCAGGAAAGTATTTCAGGCAGAGACCTCCTGCGTGAGTGGCGGAGCAAAGTGGAGCACAGCAGGCAAACTACGTCTTGACAAACCTCAGCCTGCACAGCTGGATTTTTATCAGGAGGATTTTGGGGCTCTGTAGCCTTACTTTTTTGGAGGCTTCTGAGTTGTCATTCAGCCAGTGTGTCCTGGCGCACAGTTCCTGGCATCACATTTCCTCTGATGGATTTTTCTCTCTGCCCTCTGTTTCTGTTCCCTTTTTTCCCCCATCATAGAATCATAGAATAGTTAGGGTTGGAAAGGACCTTAAGATCATCAAGTTCCAACCCCCCTGCCATGGGCAGGGACACTTCACACTAAACCGTATCACCCAAGGCCTCGTCCAGCCTGGTCTTGAACACTGCCAGGGATGGAGCATTCACAACTTCCCTGGGCAACCCATTCCAGTGCCTCACCACCCTAACAGGAAAGAATTTCCTCCTTATATCCAATCTAAACTTCCCCTGTTTAAGTTTTAACCCGTTACCCCTTGTCCTATCACTACAGTCCCTAATGAAGAGTCCCTGCCCAGCATCCCTATAGGCCCCCTTCAGATACTGGAAGGCTGCTTCCCCTTCATCTGACCGCTGACTTGTCAGGTTGGTGCAGGTTCATGCCGTGTAAACCCCTTTTCTTCTTCCATCTTATTTTCGTTACTGTTTTGTAAAAGCCCGTAGGCTGTTAGGATTGTCCATCATACTGTTGTGTTCCAGGGTCCCATGTTGTGGTGGCCTGTGGGTGGCCATGGTTCCTGCTTTTTCCCTGTCTGCTTTGGCCTGGCTGAGCATCCCACTGCAGTGGCAAGAGTTGATCTGTGCCACGGAAGCCTGTGAAAAGGTCCTTTTCCAAATAATTATTTTCTTGAGCGAACAGTTGTCGTGTCTGTTGGCTCAGGAGGCGTTTTGAGGTTGAGTGCTGCAGGTCCCATTGTACCTAGTTTATCCTATATTGTTCCTGGATTAATAAAGTGGTTACCCATATTGAAACAATACATGCTCTTCTATGTACCTGCCTGCTGTGTGGCTAGGACAAAGCATGTCATGGAGGTTGGCTTCTCTACGTGTTGGACTCTGTCCTAGCACCCTAGACCTGCAGTGGAGACAAGTTAAGGATAGGGAGGGGAAACTGGTTGTCTTCCACTTGCCTTTGATGTGTCCATGCTTGGCAGTGTGGTCTTTCAACACTGTACCCAGAATGGAAGCTGGAAACCTCATGCTTATTGCCCTCTGCAGAAATGTGAGGTGTATGGCAGTCTGACTTTCCCCGTGTCCTCTCCCCAGGGCTGTCTGCATTGCCAATACTGGAAGTGAGTTACTAATAAAGTTGGGTTTCCACTTACTACGTGTTGTCTCAAGTTGTTTCTGCACTCCGGAGTCCCTGACATCCCTTCAGAATGTAATGAGGGAGGAGCGAGCCTGGTTTTGTGACAGACGGAGGTATTGTAAACTGGGTAGGGAAAACTCTTACCTGTGGACTGTGCTCTTGGCTCTTCCTTGCCATTAATCTCAATGGAAACATTACTTCTGATTTTTTCCACTGTATAATGCTAACCCTTGTTATCTTTGTAGCCTAAAACTGTGCTCAGCATGGGTTTTTCCTTTAGCCCTGAAGAGAGATGGATGTTGGGATGCGTGTGCACAAGACTGTGTTTCTAGGAAATTGGGACCAAAAAAGATAATTAATTACTATTAGTAACTTAATTTTCTGCAAACTAAAGAGCCCTGAAGAGAAACCCACTTCAAAATCTCTTTGTTTCTCCCCCCTTCCTTTTTTTTTGTTAACAAAGGATACGTTCTAGCTGTATTTCAGTGGTCTAGGGTTTCAGCCGCTTTCTTTGATACCGGTTTGTGTGAAAGTAGTTGTGTCAGACAGAAGGAAATGATAAAATCTATGAATTAAGGCAAAAGATGAGAAGGGCAGCGGGTAGCATGAAATGGAGATGTGTTCGGATCTAACAAGCATTCCTACGAGCAGACCCTGGTTTCTCTACTCACTACAGGCCAGGTTGATGATGTTTGGCAAGATTAATGGATTGGGGTGGGTGGCTGATAAAGATCTTAAGGAAAAGCAGATTCTGGTGACTACAGTATTGCAAGTTTATTTTTAGAACTCGATCACACTGGAGTTGCTAGCATTAGAAAAACTTCTTAGCTCACATTATACTGTGAATTTCTTTCATTTATTTTTAAAGTGGAAATTTTGCAAGCTGACGTTTTGCAGCATGCGTAGTACGATTTGGCTGACAGCATTGTCTGGCAAAAGAAATAACCAAATTATTATTCAGTCATGGGTTTTTAACAGCCGCAAAGCAAGTGGATGTTAACTAAATGATGCAATTTATTCCCTTCCTGCTTATTGCCAGCTTGCCTATTACAGAGAGACTGCCAGCTTTAAATAAGTGGTACCCAGATGGTAGTCGCATGACGCCCACTTGGTTACAGAGCCTAAGCACGGAATAACTCGGCAGCCACTACAAGCTGTGGGTCAATTGAGGGGGAATGCCTGTTGCTTCACAGTTTTGCATATGTAAATCTGTTAATGTTATGTCAGTATTGTGCGGTCTAAACACAAGCATTGCCTTTCTCTGGGGCCCAGATGAACTTGGATCGCCGCCCAGTTAATGAGGAGTCGAGTGCGGAGTGGCAGTCGGAGGCTGCCGCTGCCGCTTGCTTCCTCGGTGTGAACTCTCCACATCCCGGATGCTCTCCTCCAGCAGCGCTGCCCGGGGCTGGCAAGCCCGGTCGGAGCAGCAGGGCAAACACCCCCTCTATTTTTATCTCCAGCACGGAAGAGGGTTGGCTTGGCTGGGTTGACGTTTTCTTTCTGTCTGCCACACTTCTGTGCTCGCCTTCATCGACTGCAGATGTGGCGCGCAGCCGCCTCCGAGAAGTCATGAACTGTGTCGTCTGCGCCCTTTAACAGCCAACATCTGCTGCAGCTGCCTGATGGAAGCGGCATGGAAACAATTTTTGGGGAGAACGCTGAAGTTTACCCCTACAGACAATTACTTTATATTAATTGTATCGAGATAGTTACCATACGAGTTGGGTTTGAAGCCGATCTCCTACCCCTCCACCCTCCCTTTTTTATTATTGTTTTAAAAGCAGTAGTTAAAATTGTTTGACATGGGAATGCTTTTTACTGTTGATCATTTCTGGTTCTGAAAAGTTTATTACAATGGGTGAAAACAACAACCAAAAAAACCCATAAAAAGCTGGGCCTGTAATATGCTTAAAGGCTAAAAAAGTGCCAATAGTGTTGATTTAACCAAAGAAAATGTTCCTGGAGGTACTGTAAATTTTATGTGCCAGATGAAAAGCATTAAGTGTGTTATTTTTCATGAAGGAAAAACATTCTGATTTTTAACCATTTTGTAAATTATATTAATGTTGTAATATGGCTTAAAAAGTCTTGGGCCTGTTCCAGGAGCACTCGCCCCATGAGCAGGTCCCACAGGGGTGCGGGCTGGGGCCCTGGCTGGAGCAGGGTTGGGTGCAGGGACTCAGCAGGCAGAAACCTCTTTCTAGGCAAAGCACTCTGTTGTCACTCATTTTTTTTCTCCCTATTTTCTTCTTCGTTGGAAGTGAGCATTTTAAATGCAGCAAGAATAAAACTGAGGGGGAAAATAAGCTGCTTTGGAATGTAGCAGAAAGCTGAGATGGTTCAGTATTCTATCTTTATTTTGCTAATTATTTGTCATGGAGATGCGAGTTGATTCCCTGAGATTTCTTTTAAGCCTCTTAAGAGTAGTTTTTAGGGCTAATGGTAATTTTCCTCGACTGGACGTTCCCCAGCTACAGTGTTGTGGTGCTGCTTGCCAGCATGGCTGAGAAGTAAGCTGGAGGTTCAGAATATGGACCAGCAAGGGGAGAAAGTGATGGGGAAAACCAAGTAAGTGATGTAGGATTTGCATGAAGGGTTTGTAACTTAGAGATGAGTCTGTCACTGCCGTTGCTTAGTCTCGAATGGGAATTGGTCCAGCAATTGTCCTTTTTGATGGAAAATTAGTTAGCAGTTGTTGAAGAGCCTATAGCAAATTCTGATACAATAAAAGTAAATTATGCTAGGCATTGGTTTATGTGTGATTTTTTTCAGTTCCTTATATTAGCATGAGAGCTATAGCTTACCCTACTGAAAACTTAATTAGGCAAACAGAATGCTATGTTAGCAGACACTTAAAAACCCAATGTGCTCAGGACTGGATTCAAATAAGTTAATAAGAGTTATATTAGGTGTTTCTAATGGTACTTTCCATTTTTTAAAATAAATGCTGTCTTTGGTAATAAGCCACCCACACCTTTTTGGGTAATAGTTTAATTGAAAGGCTTGATTATGTCCATTTAGTGCCAGAGGATCCCTGCTGCTGTGCGGTATGTTAATGCAAGTCTCTTCATACACTTTATATTTGGATGCCTGATGTAAAGCTCCTATAGGAGAAAACTGGGATGAGAAAAGGAAACAATCTGTTGTGGAGTATGCTCAGAAGAGCCAGCAGACAGGAGCAGAACAAATATTCAGAGTTAGTGTGGGTGTAGGGGTGCATGCATGTTTGTATGTAATGTATTTAAAATGCCAATAGCTTATGCCTTTTGAAGGCTCCAAATCATAGCTGTCATATTAGATATACCATTTCCAAAAATAATGCCAGGAACAGACTGATACTGATTGTTCGAAAAAGCATTATTATTCCATGATACATTTTTTGGGCTTCTGTCCCCATTTAAACCAGGTTTTTCCATGCAGCGTTCCTCAAAAATTGTTTGCTGGAAGGATTTTGATTCCAAATTGAAGGTATATTCTTAAGGTTTTTTCCTCCCAGAAGGCAGAATGACAAGGAGAGAATGTTCTTACTTTGTTTCTTACTCATTTCAGCAAATAGATATTTTTAGATGAAGGACGTTAATGTAAAGCCTGCACATTTAAGCTGGCATTCGGAAGTTTGGGACTTTGTTATCCTATAACTGGTGCTACACTGTTTCCTCTGCGGCTGCATGCTTATGCCTATAAAGTGGGAATGGGTAAAAGTTGCAATGTTAAGAGTGTACTGAAGGATTTAAATAGTGCTTGTGAAGTGCTGAGGTCATCTGATACAGGATGTTTTGATAATAAAAAGAATCGGTTTCTTCAACCACTCTCAGCCTCAACATGACTGTGCTGTTGGTGCCGTACAGTGGGTCTGTAGTGTTTCTTAACTGTGAACACAGATGGTTTTATGCCACCAAGCAGAATTGCCAAAGGTTGCAGACTTTAAAATGTTTCTTGAACATCAGTAAAGCAGCATTTATTTGTTACGTTGTTGGTACAGACCATGGCATGTGTGCCTTCTAAAAATTTTAGGTTAATGTTTACATGTGATGGACCAGTAAAAGTGTGTGTCTGTCATGGGTATGGCAACCTTTATTTGGCAAAAAGGGCAGAGCCTGGTTACGTGATAAGGATAACTTTGCCAGAAAATAAGTGGTACAGCAGTGTGCAAAAAAATTAAACAGAGAATGCATAAAAATGCCTTTAGTTTGTCATCATTTTACACCCATCTCTAAACCATGGAAACCTTCAGTACTAACAAGCACTCAAAGTAGAGCTAGAGAGGTCCTTTCAAAGCAGAGACGGTTTGGGGGATTCCCTGAGAGAAGATCAGATAAGATAGTAAGTGGAGGATTCAGGCGGAAAAGTGGTTTGGAATTGCAAATCAGTGGTTTGCCCATAAGTGCTTTGGGTTGGCTGTGGTGGTTTCTGATCGTATGTATATATATATTTATTTTTTTCCCCCAAGATCTTGAGCAATTTTTCACCCGCCTTTAAGGTCTCTCGAAAGGGTCCTGATTTTCAAAGGTTGTGCACTCCAGAGCTCTGCAGGCTGATGAGAAATCACTGCTCGTTCTCTTGAGGCTCCTGATCTCTGTATGTGATAGAGCTCCTCGCTTTCAAATGCTTTAGCATAATTCTTTGCTTTCTTGAACATTGTAGGAGGTTGAATAAATATGATTTCTGAAGTATGTATGTATACATAGATATATGTATGTATATATAAAGCAATGAAACTTGGACATGCTGGGTGTTAAGCAACTCGCCAAAAGCAACAGGAGGAACCAATGTCAGAACAGGACTTAAATTTATCTCTTGCTCATTGGTGATCCCACAGCTGGGCAGGATCCAGCTAAGCAAACTGTGATGTGGTGACTGTTCTGTCTCTTCCCACACAATGTACTTACAATTTATTTACGATATATTGTAAAATATATTGAAATATTTAGGGAGTTCGACATATTTCATGTAATGACTGGAAGACGGTAGGTTTTAGTGCATCACTTGGCTCAAGCCCTCTAGACCTTGACCAGTTCTTTCCTGATGTGAAATGTAAAGCCTTCATCTGGGAGAAAAAAAAAAAAAAAATTATAATTTTAATAAATCTACCAGCACCTGGCTGCGAAGACAGGTAAGTGGGTTTGGGGGGGAGAGGGGGTTATTGTTCCTATCTATTTGTTTAGCTTGGAAGAATCAAGAGCAGAGTGGCTGGGTGGCACGGGGATGCGTGCATCCCCACCGCTGACGGCATGCATAATGGCAGGCACAGGCGGGTCCCAGCTGCCTAGCACCAGCATATGTTTCATGGGGCTGGCTGCCTCAGGGGACATGGCTGGTCACCACAGCAGAGGTGGTTGAATCTGCATAAAACGTCCTGCTCAGGTCTGTGGGAGCCTCGGTTGTTCTCGCATGTTGTCATTTTCAGCTTGTCTGTCAGTTGTGACCCCTAGTCTGGTCATGTGTCCTTGCACCTTCACTGCTCTGCTTTCACAGACAGAATCATTTGGGCTATGCTTTCTGCCCTGGGTAGGAATCGAGTGTTTTACAGACAGCACCAATATCCAGCTGCATCCTCAAATCACCTTCAGTGCCTACTGCCCTCTTTCAGATGGCCTAAAACTTACAGCTTCATTTCATCCATGAGGCAGTCAAGCTATCTCAAATCACTGGCACTCTCAAGACTGAAAATACTGTTGGCATAACACAAGTATAATTACTGTCAGTATAATCAACAAGGATTACTGGATTGATTTCTCTCTTCCTTTTTTTTTTTTTCCTTCAGATGTTTAAGAAACCCCAAACTTGAATAGGAGTACGTAACTTGGTATTGTTCCCCATTGCTGGAGGCAAACTTCTGAGCCAGAGCTCGGCTTTCTCTAGAAGATGTAGGATCTTGCATGCTATCAGTCTAGATTATGGGTGTAGTGTTGCCAAACCCATAGGTATAGTAGCAAGGAGAAGGCAGCATTGATCATGCTGTTTTTGTCCAGCAAAATGCTTCCCCAGTTGTGCATGGTGTGTCAGCTGGGGAGCCTGCTGCTTCCCCTGGGGCAGGCGGAGAGCAGAGGGAGGCAACATCAGCAGCAAGGAGGATGTGATGAAACAGTGATAGTGATCTGGAGCTTGGGAGATGGTTCTCTTGAATCCTCCCTCGATGCTAACTTCACTGCAGATAAAAGCTGAAAAAGGTTTGGTCTCCTTGGTGATTTGGGTGAGGGTGAAAATGGCTTTAATCTTTTTGGCTGAAGTCTGAAATGAAGGTATAACCTCCCTTGCATCTGGCAAAGAAACATGTTTTTTACAGGTGTAGCTTTAGGTTTTTGTCCTGTGTTCTCTTGCAAATGAGCTTCCCTTTCTTTTCTTTTCTTTCCTTTTTTTTTTTTTTTTTAAACATACATATGCCTCCTTTTGGAAATTCTTGTTTCCATCCAGGCACCTGCATTTCAAGTCTCTATCATGCAGATTCATTTTTCTCTTTAGACGTGTGCCATGCTGACAGGCCTAAGGCTAGAACATGCTTTTTATCTATGAAGGCTTTCTCTTGCACTTTCACTTCGAGAAGGTAATACTTTGAGGTGAAGGCAAGGGGCTGTACCCTGCTCTTGGGAGCCAAGATCTGGGCTGTTGCTCTGGGTTGAAAGTCAGATTGTTTCGCACTTGTGACTTGGGATCAGGAATACTAAAAGTTTTGCATGTCTGAATGAAAGGAAGAGAGATTTGGATAAGATCTGTTTGAAGAGAGACTTCTGAGCTTAACTTCTGGATTTACTTTCATTTATCAAAATGCACAAAATCTGAAGAGGAAGGTTGAATTTTGGGGGTTGTGTCCTCATGGTCTGTGTTCTGGCTTTTTTTTAATGCTGGGCTAGTACATGAACAGAGATCTTGAACATCTCATGAATTCAGATGAGACGAGCCTAAAAATCGTAAGTTATGCATGCATCGAGGTTGCATCAAAAGTTCTTTTTGAGATACACAGCCATTTTATTGAAGCCTTGTTGTGCAGGCACTGTGCTTTGCCATCTTCTGGACTGCCCCAGGATCATCTTCATTAAATCCCACTGTCTTCTGCATTAATATTGGCTTTTGTGCTCCATTTAGATTTTCTTTAAAGCATTACATAAACAGCTATCGTGTAAATACAGGCATTTGTAATGGTGCTTTTAAATTAAAAAGAGTCTTGGATTCATGCAAGTAGACACATGCTTGCACAAAATAACTTTTGGCTTCCCCCTAACACTTTTCAGAATAATTTAAAGGAAGAAAAGATTTGCAAACAGTTGTAAAAGAGCCATAAAAAACTGTCAAATACCAGACCTTCAGCTAATTGTAAACTGTTTTGCTCTTGGAAGTCATACAACATTGATCTCATAGCTGCTTCATTAAGAAGGTGCTTCTCTGTAGCACAAGAGCTGCTTGCCTAGGTAGCCATGAGTAAAAATAGCAAGAGATCTTGGGCTTCTGCTATGAATGCCCAGTATAAACTAGAATAGCTCCAGGCAACTGAAGTATTCTGTACCAAAAAGGAAGGCAAGCATTGCAGGGAGCTGAACAGGAAAAAGCTGCAGAGCTGAAAACCCTTTTTTTTTTTTTTTTTTTCCTCCTCCCAAGTGCTTTACCCTAGAAAAGCCACATCATCCCCAGCCCTTTGTGGGCAGGCATGGCAGAGGTGGGATGTGTTGTGGGAGGACCCAGTGGCCCAGGAGGATGCAGGTGTGGGTGATGAGTGCCGTAATGCCTGCAGGTTTGCTCTCTGACTGTCCTTATGGAATATGTTCTAATCTTTAATTTTCAAAGGGAAGCATGAAGAAGAATCTCTTCTGGACAGAGAACTGGCCAGTAGGTTAGTTGCATCATTTTTTTCTTCAGGGTACCAAGGACGACAAGCACTTATGGGTCAGCTTTTTCTGGTTGGCATTGGTGGAAAAAAATAAGTCAATAGTCCATTAGACTAGATTGTTGGAAAAACTTTTCTCTGAACTCAGCTCTAATTCTGCAGCTGGGGGATGGTTTACTTGAAGAATGTGCACAGCTCTTTGCATTGTGTCCTTCCAGTGCCGTGAATTGGGGTGTCTGCTTCACAGAAATATTAATAGCAACCTACTGGGTCTCATCTCTGGTGTGTTCACTCTCAGTCTCTCCTTCAACCGGTTTCTAAAGCCTTATCATTAAATCTCTTTAAGAAGGGAAATTCTTGCTTTTGTGTATTGGTTGGGCTGATGAATGGTCGTCTGTTATCTGCTCAGTCCATGACTGAGTTGGGCTGTCAGAGAGACAGAGCTGAAGTCAAAGGGACTTTATTTCAGGCTTCTCTACCTCCTCTGGGTTAGCCATGGAGTGGATTCTCTTCCCATCTGTTCCTGAACCAGAAACGTCCTGTTTTACAAGAGGGAGGCCTGGGGATTTTATCTGACCCAGCCATTTCCTTTGTGATTTCCCGGTTTCCTTCCCCTGCAGCAGTCCCGTGCTGATCCCTCACTTCCAGCCTTGAAGACGTGTCTCCCTTTGCAATGATTCTTCTAGCTGCTGAACAAGGGGAGGGAAACCAAAGTGTCACTGCTTACGCCTGGTGAATTTGAACATCACCCATGTATGCTCAGTTCCTGGAAGTCCAGGTCTGTACTGGCAGTTGAATGTCTTGATTTGCAAGTGTTGATGGGACTTGGGAGCTGTGGGGAAGGTTAAAATCCTCTGTGTGCTTCTAAAACAATGTCAGCTTTTCTCTGAAGAACTCGTGTGAGTTATCTGACAGCAGGTCTCTGTGCTTACAGGGTCTGACTTGGGTGCGTGCACATGACTGTGAGACCAGTTTCAGTGCGTGTTCTATATTGGGTAATGCAGCTTAAGCATTAGGTGTTTTTCCCCAGCCCAGAAGTAACTGCAAGTAGGGACTGAGTTGCCAAACCTTAATCAGGGTTGTTTTGCTGATTATTTAATATCTACCAGGGGCTGAATTCCTGTCTGAAAGACATTATAGGGTGACAGAGTCTTCTTGAGAGTGGATTTTGGATGGTCAGAACTGGATGTAAGGGCAGCCTTCAGGAAAACCAGTTAGCCTCAATTTTGTTGCTGAGTGGGCATGAGCCAGGCTGCAGGCTCCTGGGTTTTGGAGCACGCCAGTACCCTGGTGGCCTGTTTAGCTGGAAAGGATGAGCACAGAGAGACCCGAAAGAGAACTGGGTAAACAGGAGGTTGCCTACAGCTCTGCCGTTGCAGTGCACTGTAAATGGTCAGGGAATAAGGCAGCACTTAATTTTAAGAAAAAATTCCTGGAAACACAAATGAAACAATACAAAGTGGGGGGGGGGGAAATCCCCAAGGCATACCCCAAAATCATCTGTGTGCCCAGATAGATATCATATACCATTGGTCATGCAACGGTTTGGTGGTTTGGTGTGCTGCTGTCCTTACTAGCTTAGGTGTAACTTTCGTTTCTGATCTCATTCACATTCCTCATCAGAAGCATGTCAGAGAATTGGGAAATCATCCAGTAGATTTTGGCCTATCTAGCTGTAATAATGCTCAACTTTGCATTTTGTTTTGAAAGCATTAGGAAAGAAGGGACTATACACAACTTGGTCAAGAAAGCCTTTGTGATTCCCCTATGACTCTGTAGGTGGTAAGACCAGTTGCTAGCCCCTGCTTGATGTCTCACAATCCTGCCCTTCCCTGACTCATCTGGTGCTAACAGTGAGTTTTCTTGCATCTTCTTTCCTCATTTATCTGTGGGTTTTTTTTTGTGTGTGTCTACTTCCAACCCTTTTCCGATTGCGAGAACCACTGTGTGCGTGGCTGTTAAGCACCACTCTGACTTCTGCATCCCCTCGTGGCTTTGTTCTGCCTCACGGAGAAAACATAAAGTTTATCCGTGCTTTCCCAGCTTTCCTCAATTTTGCCCCATTTTAACCACCATCCTGTATCCTGGAATCATCAGTATCTCTTCACTGCATCAGTGCAGCTAAGCTCTCTCCGAGCAGCACTTTGCTTCCTGCTTCCGAATGATAGCCCTCTTGGGTATGAGTGACTCTGTGTCACTGAGAAAGTACATCTTATTTTTGGACTGTCGTCTACAATGTGATTTTTATTGCACCCAGCAGCACTGTCTACCATTGTAACGGGGCACCACGGTCTGTCCTGCATCGTCCCCTGCCAGGTAGTAGGAGAATGAATACGAGATCCTTATCCTAGACCTGGGCCAGCAGAGGTACGGGGGGATGTGATGTGCAACTTGGGAGAAAGACCATGCAGGAGAGGAAAACCAAACATGGACCTCTTGATGAAATCTCCAGCTGGTGGCTGAACTCCAGGACTGTTTTTCCCTCCACAGTGTCAGCCTTAGTTAGTTGGTCTCCAGATGCTGCCACTATATGAATATTCAGAGCCAATAAAATATGCACAATACCGTAAACCTTGCCAGGGTGAGGATCTTGAGGGCTCGATGAACTTTGTAACAGCATTACTCACTTGTAGGGGCACGACTGATGCAGCAATTGATTTCTCAGTTCAGGCTTCACCTTCTTTTGAGCAGAGTTCATCCTTGTTTGCTTTTCATAATAGTGTTATTACACCTCACTGGCAGCAGGACGAGGGTGAAGCGACCATGCAGCTTTTCATTCCTGTTTTCATTCCTTGTGTACTCCTGTGCCATAATCAACAGTGGTGAACACCAGTCTGTCAGGCTTGAATTTTGCATATCTGATCTGTTATCAGCTGACTGTCGTGGTATTAACGCTAATGTAAAATATTGTTTTAACTCAGAATTTTCCAACAGTTACAGAACAAAGGCCCAAAGAGCTTCAACATTAATGAAAAAAGCAAGAGGAAAAAAAACACAAAGCTATGCTGCAGTAGCAAGAATACAAAAAAATGCATCTTAAAACTTTTTTTTTCTACTGATCTACTTTCTGCATGACTCACAAGCCAGGCTCTAAAATGGCCTCCAAACATGCATGCATAATTTTGCACATCCAAGTGTCTGCATATGCAGTGCTCTTAAATATCCCCAAGGCTTTGTTGCTGGAGTGGGGCGGGGAAGGGGCTAAGGACTTCATCACCATAAGGGCCCTAACTTGTGCTGGTATCGCTTCCCTGATGGCCTTGTCGCAGCCTTCAGTGTATGCCAGTCAATGACCAGCATCCATGCAACCTGCTCTTCTCCACAGGTTTATGCTGGGCTAGTTAGCTCAAAGAATGTCTGCCTGTTTTGCTTGCTTTTTTTTTTGGCCTTCTTTTTGGTTCCTCTTATGTGAAAGGCATAGACCGTGAAAGAAGACGTGGGCTTTCTGAGTACCAGCTATATTCCAGGAACTAGCTGGACAAGGGAGGGTGAGGGAGAACCAGACCTTGCAAAAAGTTCTGCATGAAGCTATAGAAATGAGGAGGAGACCACCTTTGGGCTGATGGCATTGCTTTTTTGTCATAGGGCAGTGGGACCTGCTGCCCCTGCTTGTAGAATCAACAAGTAAATAGGTTAAAAATTAAATCTGCTTACCTGTTTCTGTTTTGTTTTCCTTTCAGTAATTCCTGACAGGACCCCTTTTAAAGTAGGCATCTCATCTGTGCATCTCATACCTTTTGTAAAATAATAAAGAGCTCTTAAATGAAAAGCCAGCATGTGGATGTGCTTGCAGGTGTCAGAGCAGGGTTTTCACCCTCGGGAGGGGATGTACAAACTGTTCTCAGCTGAAGCAATGGAGGCCAGTTAACAGCCAGAGTCATGGGTGGCTCTTTCAACAGCTTATGATAATAAATCCTAATTTTAGGAGTTTGATGTGCAGATGACATCCCCTTTTCTGAAAGTGGCCTGTGTGTGCAGTGATACTTGGTGCGTGTTTCGGATGCTTATTGTCGGTCAGGGTAGGGTGAGCATACCTGACATAGCAGAAAGGTGTTGATTTGATTAAAATCTGTCTCTATTGTCTGGCAGAAGCCCTGAATCCCCCTTTTACCCTTTCTGCAAGCAGAAAGAAGTGCAATTTTCATTCAGCATAGATGTTTCCCTTTCATCCCTGAAGCTAATTTTTTTTTTTCCCTGCAGCAGTTTTGGTGAAATTATGTATCACTTGTGATAATTCATTTTAAAAATTCCTGAGCTGTGTGGCTTACTTTCATGAAAATTCATTTAGATAAAATTAGATATTATTGTTTAATGAGGTGGCATTTCAATTTAGACCTTGCATCATGCATATACCAAGAGTTTTTTATGGAATAGTTAGGTTCATTTGAGTAATAAAGGCTGAATCATGGGGGCTTTAATTCTTAATCGCTGTGAGGATTGTTATCTGTGGGATGTGAGCTGTCTTAGTGGTATTCAATCAAGTGTCCACTTAGCCGTGACCAGAAGTAATTGCTCCCAAGTGGGTTGCACAATGACCTGTTAATACTTGCTTTGACCCTCTGACCTTGTCTGCCCCATTGTTTAGGATTTTATAGCGAGCGAGTCTGCATTTCTGTGGGGTCAAGTAGATATCTGAGGTCAAACATTTTCTGATTACTCCATAGCGTACACTGTAAGTCTGCAAAGTTGTTGCATAGCAATAGTCACCGCTTCAGAGCAGGACGCGAAGGGTTGGGAAATTGTCTTCCTGAATGCATGTAAACAGTTTAATATTTTACTGAAAGAAGTTCATCTTGTAAATTAGGTATGAATAATACATTTGTAATTACTACTCATGTCTTTAAACACTTGTGTCTTAATTGGCTTGGGTATTTTTTTAATGTATTTGCATTTTGTCAGGGAAGTTAATTTTAACTTGCAGGGATGGAAGGCAAGTTGCGTGGACTGGGGATGGCTTCGTCCTGCATCTCTTTAACGTCTGGGCTTGTGTCAGTGCTTCTACATGAGTTCAGGTGGGGATTGCTTCATCCTTGCCTCAGACTGTTGTGGTCAACTATTTTATGTGCCTCTCACAGCCTTCCAGAATTAATTTGACCTACTTGTTGATGACTGCGACCTGTGGATGGTTGGGTGTCCTGAATTAATTTATTGGCTACGTTTAAATGTCACTGAAAGCACGGTCGTATTGTGCAGTAATTTGCAGGTGGAGTTGCCGTGTGTAGCTGAAATGCAGTATATTCTTAGCAGCGTATCTGGCAAAATAGCACCATTGCACAAACAAAGCCTTGGTATTGTTTGTAGCACTACTCCCTCGTTTCATGTGGTGATTACCAAGTTCACTAGCCAAAACACTTCTGTGCACTCTTCAGCCTTGTGGGTCAGCTTTGCTCTAAAATAACATCTATGCCCCTCTCTCGGTATCGCATCCTAGGGAAAATATTTTGATCATCATTCCCTGAGCGGGGCTGGTGTGATGACACAAAGCAGTTGGATCACTATACAGTTTGGGGACAAACACAGCTAGCGTTCCTGTGAGAGAAGCAGACTATAGTCAACTGAGTAAGCAAGAAACGAGTGCTAGAGAGAAAACTATATAGCATATGTGGGGGAGAAAAACAAAACAGTGACTCTTTCCACTGCCAGAATAT